CTCCTCCCGGGGTCCCCGGACACAGTTATTGTTATGGTGTTATGGCTCTCGGGGCATAGCAGCCCATAACATGTTATGGGCTGCTATGAGAGAGCCGTCCCGGATCCACGGTGTTATGGCCCGAGAGGCCACACCGAACTGCTCGCCGCTGGAATTTTCGCTTCGCGCGCTGCCGCGCGCGAGGTTCGGCATCGACCGCCAAATATTTTCTCTTTTGCCCTTAAGTTAAATTCAATAACATCAACCTGCCTCCTGACTGAGGCTGAGCGATGGCTTCAGATTTCTCAATCAAGACCCCCCTCCCCCTCCCCCCCCCCTTCACGCAATTTGCTTCCCGTTTCTAACTCGTACTCTCTGCAGCTGCTGCCGCTCCCCTCCGTTTTAACATGTACCTTAAGGTCTGTCTTTCCCGCAATTTAACTCACGTCCTTTTTCTCTGAGCCCTGGCCTCGATCGACACCCTCGACACCGGGCCTGGCCGGCGCATTCGAATGCGCCCGCCGCGCCGGCAGACTGTTGGATGGCCACAGTCGCGAAAGTGGGTGAAGTACGTGCGGCGCCGTGGCAGCGGTGGCCAGGCGGCCCCTCTCGGTGCGCCACCGCGACCGCGTTGCGCTCTCGCGCCTCGCCATGCTGCAGGCTGGACGGCGAGGGACATTTGTCGCGACTTTCAATAGGGAAAACGCAACGCATCTTGAATATGGCTGCAGGGCATCTTTAAGCTACTGGGAGACAAGAGGGAGGCGCGATTTAGAATCGGGTCCGACCGGCCTACACACCGGGGAAGGGGAGAGCGGCGGCGGGGGCGGGGGCGGGGGCGGCGGCGGCGGCGGCGGCGCGCGGCGCACGCGCGACTGAAAGGGCAGGGGGTGGGGACTCCCGCCGTGCTCACGCTGCGCGCACACGCACCACATACCCTCATGAGACATACTGAGGGAAGGACGGAGCGGCGGCGGCGGCGGCCGGTACGGAGGGAGGGGGCGCGGGGGGAGAGCAGAGGGGCCGTGAGGGGTGGGGGGGGGGGGGGGGGGAGGTTCCCCAATCCGGGGCCCTAACCTTGGGGGCTTCTGGGATAACAAAAAGCTGCCTGCCCAGTCCCTGGAAGGGGGGACCGGAGCTTCCCGGGTTCTCTTTTGGAACCGGGGGGCGGGGACACCAATGGGGGAGCTAAACCTTTCCCCCGGGGAAAGGACAAAACGGGTTTTTTAAAAAAAAACCCTCCCCCCCCCCTTCCGGGAAA